TATCTTTGCAGTGTCCAAATACTTAAAAGAGGGGTGCCTGGGTGGCCCAGTCGGTTAAGCGTCTGCTGTTGGCTCAGGTCGTGATCCCAGGGTCCTGGGATCAAGCTCCACATCAGGCAAGCAGGGAGCCTGTTTCTCCCTCTCCCACTGCCCCTCTCCCTGCTTGTGCTCTCTCTAGCTCTTTAAAAAAATTTTTTAAAACATTTGCACTTTTACCAGTAAAGGAAGAGATTATGTCAAACTATAATTTTGCCTATCTACATGTCTGATACTGTCCAAAGGACAGAGCCAAATACACAGATAGAAATAAATTCCTATATATAATACTGTGAAAGTCTTGGGAGGACACAACATACTTGTCATCACAAAGCTGTTATATAAGAGCGTTTAAAGATTAAAAAAAAATGTAGCAGCACAAAACAAATTCTGTGGGAAAATGTCAGGATTTCTAAAGTAACAGTGAGTAACCATGTAACATTTATAACAATACCACTGTTTGCTTTAATTCTTTATCTCATTTTAAATTGTAACGTCACCATAACTCTCTGAGTAGTTGCAATATGCAAAGAGTAATCTAGCCTCTATTATTTGTGTTCTACATGTAAAAACAGAAATAGATTCAGAGAAGTTAAATAGTTTATCCAAGAACTGACAGTGTGAATTTTGAACTAATACTCATATGCTTTTTTTGTAAACAATTTTTCTTAATTGCTTACTATTCTAAACACTTTGCATTATTTCATTTAAATTCACATTGTCCATTCTATTCCCTGCCTCTTGAAGAACATTCAAATGAAACAGGAGACACTCCAGGGGTCTCCAGAAATCATATTTGCAGAGGTCTTTATGGGGAAAAAACGGGGGTGGAGGCATTTCTGTATGTTTCCCTTGAGGCCAGTGATGTATGCGTCTGGCTTTTGATTTCCTTCTCCATTTATAGCCAGGATTTACCAAGATCCTCAAACTTTTTAGTCTCAGGACTCTTTTACACTCTTAAAAATTATTGAGAACCTAAAGAGCTTTTATTTATATTGGGTTTTGTTTTTGTTTTTTTAGATTTTATTTATTTGAGATAGAATGAGACAGAGCAAACACGAGTGGGGGTGGGGAGAGACAGAGGGAGAGGGAGAAGCAGGCTCTCCACTGAGCAGGGAGCCCGACGTGGGGCTCAATCCCAGGACCCTGGGATCATGACCTGAGCCGAAGGCAGATGCTTAACCAACTGAGCCACCCAGGTGCCCCTATATTGGTTTTATATATATACATACATAGTTACAGTTATTTACCATATAGAAGTTAAAACCAACACATTTTTTTTTTTCTGCCACAGACACTTTCTGTTGTTGGCTATACAAAGGTGCATATTGGTTGGGTATGTGTGTGGGGTGAATTTGGGTTCCCCCCAGGAGTCATAGCTGTTGCAGTAAATATTTTGCCTCTGGTTTCCCTATCACTCTTCACCTCCTCATCCGTTGAACCATCCTCCTTCCTTTTGTAACTTGTAGTCCCTTTGACTCATATTTTCCCTTCCTCCTTCCTATGTGAAATTTCGCTATCAGTCTCAAGCTCTTGTTACTGGGCATGTTGGGGAGATCCAAGGATAACTTGGGGCCAAGGGCCTGGCATGGATCTGGTTTTTCACAGAAGATCAGAACCATCCTCAGAAGCCAGGCCATGGAGAAGATGGGAGGGAACTTTCTAGAACAAACTTCCCTGAGTTACAGGTGAGGATTACAGTAGTATGTTTCCCCCTTGTCTCCTGAATGTTTTGAAAAATGTTACCCTACCCTGGGTTAGACCTAAAACCAAGGGATTTTTAAAATCACTCGCTTTTTAAATAAAAAAAATTACATGTTAAGTAACATTTTTATGAAAGATAACTTTTCAAAAACAAAAAAAGATTTAGTAGTAAGTGTGGTATTATGTTTTTTCAAATCTCTTTAATGTCTGTCTTGAGAAGACAGCTCTGTTCTGTTTCTTCATTCAATCTATTACAATATCCAAGTTGTGTATCCTCTGAAAAACTTCACTCTATACTTGTGAGAGGAGAGTAAAGAAGTCAGAAAACATCTTGATATTATTATGTAAAGTTTTGAACTTATGAGCCTCCTGAAAGGTCTCGGGGTCCCTATACCATACTTTGAGAGCTGCTGGTTTAGATAGTTACACAGTGTACCTGTTGAAGAGACAAGATCTCCTCCATCCCCTGGAATTAATGGGGTTGAAGACGAAAGACAACGGAAACAGTTGATTTACAAGAGTCTAATTCATTCTGTAAATTTTTACTGAAACTGATCAAGACCCAAAAAACAGACAAGATAAATACAAATGTTGGGATGTGCATTTAGTGCCAAGGAGAGAGAATGGAAGACAGGAGTTACCTTCTTTAGATAGGGTGACCAGGAGAGGCCTCTGAGGAAGTGGAAGAAGCGGAGACCCAAGCAGTAAGAATATAGCCATGTGAAGAGAGAGCAGCTTCTCCTCTAGGAAGTAATTACAGTTGCCTTCAGATATTTATGTACTTGCTCGTTTATTATCTGCTTCTTCCACTAGGATATGAGTTCTATGCGGATGGGGTCTTTCTTTCCTGTCTACTTTTAGCACCTCATACATTGCCTGGCACATACGAGATACACCATAAAAGATTTCTGAATGGGTGGAAAAGATCCTAGAGAACAGTGAGGAAAGAGGAGAGTGGCACAAAGTAAGGTCAGGGTGGCAGGGTTCTAATCACTTAAGGCCTAGCAAGGTATCAGGAGGTTTGGATTTTATTCTAGGTACTCTGGGAAGTATTTAAAGCAAGAGAAGGACATGTCCCATTTTATGTGTTAAGGTCACTCAGTTGTATGGAAAATGGATTGGAGGGGAAGCTATAGTGGAAGTGAAACCAGGTAGGCTTTTGTAGGACTGCAGGTGAGAAATGGCAGCCTCTACTAAGGGCATAGCAGCCGCAATGGAGAAAAGAGGCAGAATCAAGGTATATTTTGAACATAGCATTGACACAACTTGCTAATGAAATTACGGAATGAGGAGAGGGTAAATCAAGATGACACCTAGATTTCCTTCTTGGACCCCTGAGTAGATGGTAGAGGCAGTGTATTGAGATGAGGAAGTTTGGGGATGCTTGCAGGGGAGAGGACCAGGTCTGGAGGCAAAAATCAAGGGCACTCTTATGAGTGTGTTCAATTTGAGATGTTTGTGCAACACCTAAGAGGATATGTCAGCTAGGCACTATGGATATTCAAATCTGGAATTCAGGGAAGAGGTCAAGGCTGGAGACAAAAAGTTGGGAACCTTAAGCATAATGATGATATATAAATCCATGGGAACTGAGGCAGTCATTTAGGGAGAGAGCCTAAGAGAGATGTCTTGGGGCCAAGCCCTGAGGAACCCCAGCATTTAGGCTAGATAAAGGGAACCAAAAAGGGGAGTGAAGAGAGGTCAATGAGGTAGAAGAAAAACCAAGAAAGAAACTAAGGATGGGTGCTCCTGGGTTCTAAGAACATACAGGACTGGCAGTGAATACACTTGGGGAGGGGAGGAAGGCAGTGAAGCTGCATCTAAGTCTTAAAGGGTCTCTAGGAGTAATCCTGGCAAAGATGGGGGAAAGTAGGCATTTTCTAGCAGCAAGAGCAGAATTGAAGAAGTCCTAGGGACAGGGAGCAGGAATATTCGAGGAAGTCACAAATTAGGAGGGAATGATGAGCAGTGAGGCTTGTGAAGTGGACAGGACCGACCATATCACAAAGGGGCTTCCATGTGATAGGGATGGATAGGACCTTTTATTCCTTATTACCAAGGTAATAAGACGCTCATTATAGAAAATGGTTAAATATGTAAAAAGGAGATATCAAAAAGGAAATCACTCCCCAGAGATTTTACATTTATCTTCCTATACTTTTTTATGTAGTTGAAACTTTTATAGGTTTTTGTTGTTGCTTTTTTTGCTTAACATATTTAACACTTCCGCCATGATACTAAAGGCTTCATAAACATCTTTTTAAGTGGCTAGACAGTACTTCACAATGGAATCAAGCAAATTAATTTCTTCAATGTTCCGTGTATACAGTATTTCAAATTTATACATGATGTTTTGAAAGATTTTTGTAATTTTGACAAATTTCTTTTAAAAATCCTTGGTCGGTGTCAAACGGCTTTCTACCCAAATTTTCCCAACTGACTCTTTTTAAGATTTCGGCGTTAGACTGTTCAGAACAATCACCATGGAAGCGGTGTAAAGAATGGATGGGGGCGTGGCGGTGGGGGGGGTGGGGAGCCCCGTTAGGAGCTGCTACAGTTGTCCAGCAGAGAAGACCTGGCGTCCTGCAGCCATGCTAGCAAGCTGTGCACACCCTTCCCTTCGACCCCCTCCCTCCACCAGAAGCATCAGGCGGAGAGTTCGTTAGAAACGGCAGAACCTCAGGTCCCAGCCCAGACCTACCTAATTTGAATCTGCATTTTAACAGGATCCTCAGATGATCCCTATGGCCATTCAAGTGAGAGAAGCACAGATGGAGACGACCGGTGGTTTCAAACTGCTTCGCACTACAATCACCTGGGGAGCTCTAAAAAATTCCAAAGCTCAGGTCACACCCCATACCAATTAAATCAATCTCAGCGAGTGGGACCAAAAAACAAAACCTTTCCAAGTAATCCCACCATGTAGCCAATTTTGAGAACCTTTGATCTAGGGGTGTAGCGTGGAAGGAAACAATGGTTGGGCTCAGGTGGCTGAGGAACAGGCATGGGAGGTAAACCTAACTCTGCACCACACAGCTCCACTTTACATTTTGGATTCTGCACAACATACAAGTAGGGCTGCTGTGAAAGTACTAAAAGGCATGGGAAAGCCTGAGGTACGTACTCCCGAATTAGGAGTTACACCGCCCGATCGAGGTGGGCTGGCCGCTAATGCAGACAAGCGCCGCCTGACCAGGACCGCGCGCCCCGCCCCCCCAGCGGCTCCCGCGCCCTCCCGCGTGTCGGGAATGGGACTTGGGGCGCATGCGCGCTCGCCGCTGCGGCCGGGGTCGGCCTCCGGTGACGTCAGGACGCGTCGCGGGTTCCAGCCCCGAGCCCGGGGCCCCCCGACTCCCGCGCAGGTCGGGCGGGGGCGGGGCGTCAGGCCAGCTGAGCTATCCCGTCAGACCGCGCCAGTTTGAATGAAAGCTCCTCAAGATGGCGGCGGCTGGGGCCGAGGCGCGAGGAGGTGAGGGCTGGAGAGCGGCACCCCTCACTGTCCCCCGTTCTCCAGGCAAACTCCCGAGGCCCGGGAAGCGGGGCCGGGATCCGTGGGCCCGCCAGAGCGCGACGCGGCGAAACGCCGCCTTCCGCTCTGCTGACACCTTGGCCCCCAAAGGCGCCCCGCGGGCTTCACCCTTCCCCCGGTCCCTGACCCTTCTCACGGCGCGGCCCGCTCGCTCCCCGCAGTCTCTTCCTGCACCCCGCTTCCGCGGGGCCCGGTCCGCGCGCCCTGCCCCGAGGTCGGCTGTCTCTCGCTCCGCGGAGGTCCTGCGGACTCCGTGGCCCGGCCCCCGCTGCCCGTTGGGCCGGAGGCCCCTCCCCGCCTGGTCGCCGTGTGGAGGTATTCGGGCGGCCGCCGCGGCTCCTGGTAATCCCCGGGGGCGGTGCTCGAGGGCCTTGGGCACGCGTGTGGTTTACTTCTTTGTGGTGGTTTGGGCGGGACGTTTTGTGTTCGGGCTGGCTTTTTAACTGGGAAGCGGGAAGTACCCGGTGGTGTAAATGTGACCTCAATATCAGAGGAAAAAAGAAATTGGGGCTGAAGGATGAGCGCTAAGGGTACATTCCCCGTCGGAGACTATCCCAGTAAGTGGGTGTTTGAAGACGTAGCCTCTGCCTTAGGGTAATTTTTATACCCACCGGGAACCTGCGTGTTATTTATGTGGACGCCAGAGAATTAGATCCTAGCGTGTGTGTGTTTGTGTGTGCGCCTGCCTGTCTCGCGCACCCTCTGAAAGACTGGAATTTTCAAGGCATTCTAGAATTTAAAGGTGTTTGCTAGCGCTACTGTCCACCTAGATTATGAACTCATTATCCCCAGACTTTTCTTCCACTAGGGGTTAGTGTGAACCCAGTTTAAGGTTTTTGTAGTGGTAATAAATGTTTAATCTTGCAAATGAATTATCTTCTACATTATCATAGATAATCGGAATTGTTAACCAGGGTTTGCGGTTTTTTATGTTCCAGGTTTTTTTTTTTTCCTCAAAAATAGCATTTCCGTCGAGGGTTGTCTTGAACCTCAAGTTAAGCTAGATAAAAATGGTAGGGACAACAGACATACACATCTTGGGTGATATCCAAGAGGAACCTCCTTTGCACGTGATCAGCATGGTGAGGTTAACTTTACACAAAACATCCCGAAGTTTTTTAAATGGAAGACATTTAAGTGGTCATTTCTGTTATACCACTCTCCTGCACCCAAACCACCACTCCACAGTAAGCAGTCTCTCCCCCAAATATTTTTTTGGAGAAAATACCTTTCGTTTTCTTGGTCTAGAATTACGAATCTTTTGTAGGAAGCAGGGTGGTGGAAATCGTGCTTCGGGGTTTCTGACGATGAAGCCCCAGTGTGAGTTGGGGAGGGTGAGGGAAGGATATAGTTAAGAGCTGCTGTGTGTTCTCTCTTCCTTGGAAATTACCTCAAAACAAAAAGGTTATCACAACTACCTTGGAGAGCTACCGAGTAAAGCTTGGGTTTACTGATAGATTTTGTTTGGTTAATTCCACTTTACTCCCACCCTCACACTTTTTCAGTGAATCTGAAATCTGGAAAGATGAAAACATGACTAAAGTCATGTAGCTGGGTAGCGTAGCAAAGGGTGGGGCAGAGGACCCTTGATTCTCTGGAGTGCTTACCATAACGCTAGCCATAAAACCAAGTTTATTATATATTTCTAAACATCAGTTTGTGTTAACATATTTTATATGCCATGTGGTAGCATACTATGTACACAAAATTGAGAGTAAAATCTTTAGCACATTTAGTTACTGGCTTCTGTAAGGTTGATTATGAGTGTGTCTGATTTTTTTAAGCTTGGTATGGATTATGTAAATTGAGTACTCTGTTTTGTAAATCTTGGCTTTAAAACAATGCAGGAAATGAGAATTATGAAAATAAATTCTCCATTATTTGTAATAATTCTTGGGCTTATTTACCTTGATAATAATACAGCATAGGCAAAATAATAAATGGACTTAAAATTTCATGCAGCATTCCAGAATGGGAAAAGTAGGGCATGTGATTGCTGTATGACTATGTTACTTTTAGAACTATATTTCAATAAGATTTCATTTCTTATTGTCCAACTAAGAGAAAGGGAGAAAGTTGTGTTTAATAACTTGTAAGGCTGTTTTAAAATATATTTAAGATATTTTTAATAACAATAAGTTTGTCTTGGGATCTACATTTTATTAAAACTGATTATATTCTTTATATTCTATATAGAATATAATGGAAAAGGTAAAAACATTATCTCTGTTGCCGTTTGCATCTATATGTAATTTTAAGAAAGCTTACAGACATGAAACTTATTGTTCAGGTGGCTTAGTAGAAATTAATTTACATTAGTTAAGCATAGTAGGATAGAGATCCATGAAAAAAATCCAAGACCAGTTTACCAAAATAGTTCTTTAATGCTTAACTTTTTCTTGAAGACATATAAATGGTTTCTTGTCATATGAATTTTCAGTCCTGTAAAATTTGCCAGTTGAAGGGTGGGGATATAGAGGTCTTAAGTTTTTCCTTTTTTTGTTTTAATTGAGTAGCTACTTCATTAGTAAAGAATTCTATTTTCTTATTGTAGCTTGGTGTGTGCCTTGCCTAGTTTCACTTGATACTCTTCAGGAATTATGTAGAAAAGAAAAACTCACATGTAAATCGATTGGAATCACCAAAAGGAATCTAAACAATTATGAGGTGGAATACTTGTGTGACTACAAGGTAGTAAAGGTAAGGCAAATATCTAGCCCCTTAAAAGAGACCTTATCAAGACTTCAATTCAGTATTTCATATTTCTGTAACATAAAAAGAACCTTAAAAGTAAGCAAAAGCTCTTCTTAATGTTAAAAATTCTACGTCATAATAAATTTATATGTCCTATCATCTATATTGCCAAATAACATTGAGAGGATTTTGAAGCATTAAATGTTCTTGCATTAGAATATTTTAAGGTACTTATATCATTCTACATCCAACTCTTGATTATCTCCGTGTGGATTACCAGAGCAAATGTTTTATCTCATATTGGCTTCTCCTGACATTCATTTTGTTCCTGAATCATATTTCCCCACTATCACCTGAAATAAACCTAGAAATTCAAACCCAATTTTAGTGCTATTGAACCTCCTCAGGAAGCATCACCATTTGTATGTCCTGTATCATGTCAAACTCCAGATATTAGTGAGGTTCTGTGGTGTAATAGAATGGCCTGGAGTTTAGAGTCATTTCTGATCTTCGATTGGTACTTTGTGGCTTTATCAAAGTCATTTCATTTCTCTGGGCCTCACCTGAATTCCTGTTTCTCTTTAAAATGACAGGTTTGTTTTCCTAAGAACCTTCCTCAATCTAAACCTTATGATATATTTTTGAGTAATTCATCTTTCTGTAGTCTGCTCCCTCTCCAAGAACTCTTTTTTGGTCATTTATTTGTCAGTTCTTCCAGACAAATAAATTAGGAATCCTTCTCCTTCGTCTTCCATATTGATTCAGTCATTAAATCCAGTTCTTCCTTTGAAACATCCATCATCTTTTCATATAACTACCTTCCCCACTCAATGGGATTTTATGATCAAGCATTTCACCTACACTCTTCAGCAACCTTCAACCCCAAAACAGCCAAGTCACCTGCCATCTTATTGTATAAACTGTGGCCTGACCAGTCTAGCCAAGGATATCCTATAATCACACGTACTGATACCATTAAAGCTTATTTCTAATCTCATTCTACTCGGTTCTGCATAAGGTTTTTATCTGTTGCTTTCTTTTCCCTTTCTTGTCAGCAGTTTTTCTAATTTTTATTACTTTTCTCGACTTCTTACTCTATCCTTCACCTTCATATTCAGCCACAGACACTGAAGTGTATTTACTTCCCTGTCTTCCACTTCCGTGAAATATAGGACCCTTCAAGTGTGAACTCTGAACTTGACACCAGTTATCTGTATCTTTGCTGTCACTGTTTTCCTTTTCCTGTCCATCCCTGTTAGGACTTTGCTTAATCCATGATGCTTGCTTTTTTTTTCTTTTTCTTTCTTTCTTTTTTTTTTTTTTTTTTGTTCTTAAGCTCTCTTTTTCCACTGACTTCTCTCAGTCAATAAAACCTATTCAGGTCTTCCCCAATCTTTCTTCAACCTTGCCTCCCCACTCAAGCATTCCTGTCCTCTACTTCATTTCCCATTAACTTTTTAAAACAGCTTTGTCAAGATGTAATTCACATACCATACAATTCACTAATTTAAAGTGTACAACTCAGCATTTAGCATGCTCGCAGAGTTATTCTAAAGTTGACTGTGGTGATGGTTGCACATTTTCATTACGCCAAAAAGAAATTCGGCACCACTCCCCAAACCTCCCCAATCTTCTTCCCCCACTAGCCCTAGCCAACCAGTAATCTACTTTCTGTCTCTGTAGATTGCCTGTTTGGACAATTCATATAAATAGAACCTTACAATATGTATGTGGTTCTTTTTGATTGGTTTCTTTCACTTAGCATGGTGTTTTCAAGGTTTGTCCATGTTGTAGCATGTATTCATTCTTTTTTATTGCCAGCTCTTCCATTATAGGGATATAGCATATACAATTTATTCCTCACTTGGACATTTGGGTTGTTTCTGTTTGGGGGCTATTATAAAAAATGCTGTTATGAACATTCATGTAGAGGTTTTTGTATGGACATGTTTTCATTTCTCTTGGATATATACCTAAGAGTTGAATTACTGGGTCATACAATTTCTCTGTGTTTAACTATTTGAGGAACTGCCAAACTTTTCCAAAGGGACATTCTCACTAGCAGTGTTATGAGTGTTTCAATTTCTATACCTCCTTACTAACACATATTATTATCTGACTCTTTGATTATAGCTGTCCTAGTGGGCATGGAGTAGTACCTCCTTGTGGTTTTCATTTGCATTTCTCTGATGGCTAATGATACCGAGCATCTTTTTTTGTGCTTTTTAGCCACTTGTGTATCTTTGGAGAACTGCCCATTCTGAGCCTTTGCCCATTTTTTTAAATTGGGTTTTTTTTTAAATTATTGAGTTGTAATAGTTCTTTATATATGCTAGATAGTCCCTCATGAGATATACAGTTTGTAAAAATCTTCTCTTGGGGATTGTCTCATCACTTCTCATTAACTTTTTAACCCACTTTATTCTGATTTATGCCCCTATCAGTGACCTCCTAATTCCAAATATGAGGACCTCAAATCTTACTCTCCTTCTTAGCAATGTCTGACACTGTTCGCCTCTCTCTCTTCTTTGAAATTCTATTGTCCAAGGAGAGACTGCCTACGCTCATACTCCATCTCTACCATCTATTAGTTGAGTGACTTTTAGCAAATTAGCCTCTCTGTCTTTCCGTTTCTTCACTTACAAAGTGAGGATAGTTATAGTACCTATCTTAGGGTTATGATTAGCATTAAATGAGTTGATATAGATAAATGCTTAGAACAGAGACTGACCTGTGATGTTGATATTGTAGAAGTGTTTTCTGTCATTGTTATTCACCTCTATCTCCCCTCCTTTTCCCACCTTTTTCTTAGTACTCTTTCTGAATCTCCATTGTCTCTTGCCTGTCCTTCCAATGAAATGTAAATAACCTTCACAGCTCTGTCCTTGGCCCACTTCTTACCTTGAAGTGACTCTGTAGATAACCTCTTTCCCAGTGGTTTCTACTTCTGTCTGTTTGACTCATGACTGCCAAATCTTTGTGAGGCATTGACCTCTTTATGGACTTCATTTCAAACTGGACACTGTACAGGTTCCCAAATTCAACATATTCAAAACGGCACCTGTTTTCCTCCTTCATATCTGCATCCTGATCTAGGAGTGTTCCCTATCTAATTTAAGAAAACCATAATACCTCCAGTTACCTAAACTTTTAAGTTCAGACATTTTTAATTCTTCCTTTCTACCTACCATCTAATAGGTCATCAGATTATATTATCTCTGTCTCTCCATTTGTGTTTTCATGTTCATTCTTGCTGGACTTGAACAGTTAGTTATGTAGGGGTCTGTGCCTACATTGAAGAAACTACCATTATTCTTATATAGGATTCTGAATGTTGTAGTTAGGTTTAGATAGCTTTTGCTCTTTGGTTTCCCTTTCACCCTTCTTATCAATCCTTTCGGTTTCTTGTTTTGGAATAAGCACCCTTACTTGCGCACTTAGGTCCCTTCTAAGAGGGACCACTTATATCCCTCTTTTCTTCTTGTTTCTAGCACAAATTACTTAATCTGTGAGCCAGTATTATTTCCACATACCTCTACCCTTTTTCTCTCTCCCTTCTCATGTTCAGGGCACGTGAAAGACCATATGACCGTGTCCTTTTTTTGTGTGTACCCCTCCATTTAGCTCGTAAGAGACACTTTCAATACCATATTCCTCAAAGCCATTACACATGTTTCTAAAACACAGTTCTGGTTGTGTTAGGGCCTCGCTTTAAACCTTTTAATGGCTTGTCTACCAATCTAAGCTGAGACCTTTTGTAGTGAGGTTCTTTATTATCTGACCACCAACTACCTTTCCAGCTTCATCTCCTGTGACATATCCTACTTTTTATACACACGGAAATACATATAAATTCTTTCATTTAGCTAAGATTTAATGAGCACCTACTATGAGCTGGGCAGTGTTCTAAGCATTGGGGATATAGCTTATATTCTAGTTCCTTGAACACATTATGGACCCTTGTGCCCTTTTGCTATTCTCATCCAGTTCCCTCACTGGAATACTGTTGTTTCCCTTCTCTCCTTGACAGAATTCTCTTTGGCCTGGAAAGTTCAGCTGAAAGGTTACCACTTATTTTTGAGCTTTCTCCCCTCCCCCATGTCCGTAAAATTAGCTGCTTTATAGTCAGGACTTAATAAGCACTGTTCGTAATATTCTAGAACTTGACACATTTTATAGCTTCGTTTCATACCTTCTCTGCTAAATTGTCAATCATTTAGGGCCAGGACTAGGTCTTACTGTAGTCTCTAGTACATAATGGGTATTTAGTTAGTACTTAAGAATTGAATTGGCTTTTGCATCAGTGATTTCTCCATCCCTCACAATCACCAGTACACTAGATATTCTTAGCTTCAGACTTAGATTAAAGCAGCCATCTATTGACTAATAGCTCCTATATCATCTTTCTATAGTCTCAGTAAACATTTGAGTTTCTTTTGTGTGTCAGGTACTGCATTAGGCTCTGGTAAAAATAAAGATTAATCAGAAACTGTCTCTCACCTTAAGGAACTCACAGCCTGGTAGAAAGATGGATAAGTAAACCATCCATTACAATATAGTATAATAAATACAGTGGCAGACTTCATTACGTATCTGTGGGAGGGATACCAGGGCCAGGTCACAGGCCTAAGGCCTAAAAAAGACAGGTACACTATAACTCATGGTTTTAGTACAGAGGAAGGAGTGCTAGAATATGGGAGTTGGAAAGGATGAGAGATGAGTGAAGGAACTTTCACAGCATTCTACAGCAATGGGGGATCACTTGAAAGGTTTTTAAAAAGAGTGATACAATCAGATATTTAGTTCAGAGAATTTTCTGTCTGCAGTAAGGAAAGTGGATTGGCGGGGAGGGGAATGACACACAATTTAAACATTCTGAAAGGCTGTTGCGGTGATCTGGGCAAGAAATTATAGTGCTGAAGCGAAAGGAGATAAAAAGAAATAGGTAGTTTTTTTGTTTTTGTTTTTTTTTAATTATCATGGTTATAAAATGTACAAGTCTATGG